CATCTAGGGGTGGTGTAAGGAAGAATGAATAAGAAAAAGTACGTAAAGTACATATAATTTACATTTAGCACACTCACTGTCTTTGTGAATTTGGGGGAATATTTTTAAACTCTATCTTAGTTGTCTCTTATGTAAAATGAGGCTGAGAATAGCAACAATCATGACTGTTATGAGGAAAAAATGCAATAATATACATAAAGAACACAGGTTTTAAAACCAGCACCTAGTAAGTGCTTAAAAAGTAGAAATATGATTGATGTCACTATTATTACACTGTTTCTGTGGGGATTTCTATGTCTGCTCTGATTAACTGCTGTCTCATATTCTGTTTACCTTGATGGAAACCCTAGAATGAGTTGTTATGGGCAGGTTTTTACTAAAGGAACTTCTCTATTCACTTCTGCCACTTACTGACAAGAACACCTTGAAGTATTATCTTCTCGAATTCAGTTAAGTAAAATAGTCCCACAACAAGAGTAGAATTTAGATGAGGAAAACATAATCTTCTGTTGAATAATACTTTAAATCACTAACTAATTTTTTTTCTCAGAGTAAATTATCTCCCCTGCCATCCCTGCTTCTGATTCATGTCAATTTGTGTTTCTGGCTTTAGGTGTACAGAACAGAAGAAATCAATAAGAATAGACTGCTTGTTCTAAATCCCAACGCATATAGAATGTATACTATACAGTAAATCTTTGGGAAACTCTGATCAGTGGAACAAGACTATGCTCATCTGGGGAGTCACCAAGAAAGTAGATACACAGACACTGTATTTATAGACAATAGCTGGACACCCAAGAAGAATGGCTGCATCATGGGTTTAGGTGCAATGAGGCCATGAAGGGATAAGATACTCCTAGGATTCCTGGGCTCCAAGGAAGTTCACATACAGCACAACAATTTGTATAGCTGTAGCAAGGGTTGTGATTCATATTTTAGCAGGTGGGACTTAGAAATTCACACATAAGCCTTTCAAAGAAATATGAGGCCGGGCGCGGTGGCTCAGCCTGTAATCCCAGCACTTTGGGAGGCCGAGGCGGGTGGATCACGAGGTCGAGAGATCGAGACCATCCTGGTCAACACAGTGAAACCCCATCTCTACTAAAAATACAAAAATTAGCTGGGCATGGTGGCTCGTGCCTGTAATCCCAGCTACTCAGGAGGCTGGGGCAGGAGAATTGCCTGAACCCAGGAGGCGGAGGTTGCGGTGAGCCGAGATCGCGCCATTGCACTCCAGCCTGGGTAACAAGAGCGAAACTCCGTCTCAAAAAAAAAAAAAAAAGAAATATGAGTGATAAGAGCATAGTTATTTGAAGATGCCACTGAAATTCTCACGTAACCCTTTCAAAGAAATATGAGTGATAAGAGCATAGTTATTTGAAGATGCCACTTAAGTCACGAAAAGTCACAAAGAATATGGATCTTAGGGCCGGGCGCAGTGGCTCAAGCCTGTAATCCCAGCACTTGAGGCCGAGGCGGGTGGATCACAAGGTCAAGAGATCGAGACCATCCTGGTCAACATGATGAAACCCCGTCTCTACTAAAAATACAAAAAATTAGCTAGGCATGGTGGCGCGTGCCTGTAATCCCAGCTACTCAGGAGGCGGAGGCAGGAGAATTGCCTGAACCCAGGAGGCAGAGGTTGCAGTGAGCCGAGATCGCACCATTGCACTCCAGCCTGGGTAACAAGAGCAAAAAACTCTGTCTTAAAAAAAAAAAAAAATATATGGATCTTAGGTTGCAATGACTCAGCAAGGGTTCCTTCCATAACCACCTGTGCCAAGATGGCAAAAAGACACAGGTTCTATTCCTCAAACAACACCTGCATAAACGATGGAGAGAAATACAGCTTTTTGAAGCTAACCACAAACTACAACAAAGAAAGCAAACCAAAAAAAAAAACATCAAAATAGAGAATCCTTATATATATAAAATCCTTGTATATAAAGAAGGCAAGCTTCCAGGGTGTGTACGTGGTGGCTGGAGGTATCTGCCGCTGGGTCAGAATGCAGCTTGGGACTTGGGTGAAAAACAACTATAAAAAATAGTGATTTAATACTTTGGCTTTTCCTGCAAGTTTCCTTCCCTTCGCCACAGACACAGCCTTCTGAACCCTCAGTGCAGGTGACTACAAAGATCACATCACTGCTGAGCAAAAGGTAACCTGGAATAAGAATTGATGCACATAGCATGAACTGACTCTCTTTCCCCTCTTGTATTCTGTTCCTCTGGGGTAGATGCTACCTACCATCTGGGCTTATGGTATAGAAAGGGAAATCACCCCTCACTCCAATTGTTCAGATGCTATTAGAAAAAGTAAAGGGGGGCCGGGCGCGGTGGCTCAAGCCTGTAATCCCAGCACTTTGGGAGGCTGAGGCGGGTGGATCACAAGGTCAAGAGATCGAGACCATCCTGGTCAACATGGCGAAACCCCGTCTCTACTAAAAATACAAAAATTAGCTGGGCATGGTGGCGTGTGCCTGTAATCCCAGCTACTCAGGAGGCTGAGGCAGGAGAATTGCCTGAACCCAGGAGGCGTAGGTTGCGGTGAGCCGAGATCGTGCCATTGCACTCCAGCCTGGGTAACAAGAGCGAAACTCCGTCTCAAAAAAAAAAAAAGGAAAAGTAAAGGGAGCTAGGAAAGCTCATAAATGGGGAGCCAGAAAGAACTAACAATCGGAGGATCTCATCTAATCTGAAATGTGGGTACCAATGAGCACTTTCCCTAGGAATGGATTTAGGCTATCACCTGTGGAAAGCTGGGTTAGAGAAGAGCCTGGAAAAGTGGTCCCAGCAAAGGGAGCAATCTCTATGCTAAAGCTTCTGATTTGGGAAAGAGATTAAAATAAAACCTGGATGGATGGATTAAAATAAAACCTGGAGTGTGGTCATGAATGAAGTGAAGGTATGAAAGGTGACTCGAATATAGATAAGAAACACATTCTTGTATTCATCTTGCTTCATCTGGCTACTTCCCCCCGATCTCTCTCCACACCTGGACCAACAGAAGACAGTAATCCTCTTGAGTCAGGAAGGATTTCATGAACGTATACCTTGTAAATATCAAAAGCCACAGAATCTAGTAGAGTCTCAATGAATATACTTAATTACCAGTGAGAAATTTAATCACATACATTTTATTTGATTAAATTACTTTCTCTTTCTTGGAGCTCTTCAGGCTCCAGAAAACTCAGCTCTATGTTGCTTTAGATATTTTGATCATCACTTTGCCAGAAAGATTGTTTAAAATCCACAATTCCAGATGCAGAATTCTGCTGTTTTGTGGTCTGCGTCAGCCAGCTAGAATGCTTCAAGGGTCTCAAATGTATTTAGAAATATTCAAGGCCGGGCACGGTGGCTCAAGCCTGTAATCCCAGCACTTTGGGAGGCCAAGGCGGGTGGATCACAAGGTCAAGAGATCGAGACCATCCTGGTCAACATGGTGAAACCCCGTCTCTATTAAAAATACAAAAAATTAGCTGGGCATGGTGGCACATGCCTGTAATCCCAGCTACTCAGGAGGCTGAGGCAGGAGAATTGCTTGAACCCAGGAGGCGGAGGTTGCGGTGAGCCGAGATTGCGCCATTGCACTCCAGCCTGGGTAACAAGAGCGAAACTCCGTCTCAAAAAAAAAAAAAAAAAGAAATATTCAAGAAGTTACCTTGGCATTACCAAGTAAGTGATTTTTTAAAATACCCTGCACCAGGGGCAAGGAAGTATAACTTCCTTTATTTTCATTATATTTTACCTTTTTTGTTATTTATTAATATTAGTTTAATTTCCACAGCTATACCACTTCAGGCATTCAGTTATTTAATACAGAAAATGTACTCTATTAGAGATGCAAATGAAAAGATTCTACTTCTGGAGAGTGGTTTACTTATTAGAACACATTCTGATCACCCATGGCCACCACATTTTTTATCAGAAGGTTTGCAAAGCATGGGGTATGCAACCTTTACACAAGTAATAAATAAATTACTGATGCGGCATATGTAAACTTCTAATCTAAAGCCATATATAAACATTAATTTTTCAAGTTTTAGGTTTCAATAAGACTGGATATAAACCATGACTCTAGCATTCTTTGAAAGCTTGAGGAAGATTTTTAACCTTGGTATACCTCTATTTTCTTCTATGTGAATTGGGGCAGAAAGTAGCATCCTCCTGATAGTTACGAAGAAAGAATGAGATATTGTATATCAGGAACAACATGTAAGAATCAACACCTTTTAGTGCTGGAAAAATAGAAATATGATTCTTGTCATTGTTGTTCCATGTTCTAGACTGGGATTTGTAGGTCTGCTCTAGTCCATGGATATAACTTGAGCTATGCTGACCCCGTAAAGGAAAATCTCAGATCAAGAAAGTATGAGGAACAACTTATAAAATAAATCTCCCTGTTTACTTCGGTGAAATTAGTAATTTAATCTTATTGACAGGAGACCCTGTGAAAGCAAAGAATAGGAGACGCATCGGTTCCAGTATCTTGTATCAGTGAGAACTTTCCAGAGGAAAAAATTTAAGCTGGAACATAAAACTTGAGATTCCCACCAATGATGAGATTGGAGAAATAGATAACCATCAAGAAGACAGCGGGTGTCAAAATATGTAATGTGGGTAGAAACTTGGAACTATGGAAATAAAATCAGAAATACTACCAGTAAGCAAAGGGGAAATGGGTAAAAGAAACTGGAATGAAGCATCAGAACACATTTTTGTCTTCATCTCTGCTTATCTGGCCACTCTCCCTTACCCTCTCTACAACTGGAGCAATACAAGATAGTAATCCTCTTGAGGTCAGCAATCACTATATAAACGAATGCCTTTTAGATAGTAAAGATTATGACGTCATGCTATCTCACTGCATGAACTGAATAAATGATTCAGTGGCATAATTTCATACCGAGATTATACACAGACATTACAGCAACAGTCTAATAATCCCTGTAAATTATGGTTGGGAGACGGGAGGCATGGGACCCAGGAAATTGTACCTTGATGTTGGAACTTCTGGATGCGGTTACTGGTGGCATCTGAGGAGTCCGAGGATGGCTCTCAGGGAGGTTTGTGCTGGCCTCTGAAGTATTTAGACACTGACTCTGCTCTGGAGGTAGTTTCATGCTCTTGGGGGCATAATTTCTTGGGTTCGTTTTTTTCTTTACCTGAAAATATTCATTTTCTGTTTAATGGTTTTCAATATTAGAGGAAGCACAACATCTTTTCATTTGTGAGAATACCATCCTTTATTAGATTCTAATAGGTCTCATTACTTCCAAACATGGTCTCTCTAATGTATCCCTTCAGGCAATTATCAGAATTTTTTTTTTTCTAAAATGTGAAATTATCAAGCATTCGTCTTCCTAAAATCTTTCAATATTTACTTACTGATGCTTTTACATTGGAGACTCCATTTCTATCTTTATGACAAAAGCCAGCTTGCTGGAGGGCTGCTTTTTACCTGTCTTGCATCATTTCCCTATACCTTTCTACATATACCACTGTTATATATAACTCACTATGCTGTTTCACACTTTTAACATTTGCATGTAACATTTTCTCTGCCTAGAAATTTTTCCAATGTTTGTCTCTATCTTGCTAAGAGCAATAGTACCTATTGCATATTGATTTCCCATAATATACAAGGCAATGGAATGAGAAATGTATATCCATTATCTCATTTAATTTTTAAGCCAATCTTATGAGAAACATTTAAGGTATTTTCCCAATATTAGGAAACGAATGTGCCAGATGTGGACCAAATCTATCCTACTCCAAAGCCCTTGCTTTTGACCACTCTGTTAGATTGGTTCCTCACCCTCCTAATTTCTTCAAATATTTTATTTTTTTAGCATGAGTTTTACATCCTTTTGAAGGTTTAATTCTCTTAATGTATCTTAATACATTTCTCTATTTAAACGTGAGTAGAACATTCAAAATGGCACCTTTGAAGGAAATGGATTGCTGCTGCAGGCTCCAGGAGACAGCTGAAAAGCCGTGAGTGCCGGAAGTGTGAAAGTCTACACAGCAACTGGGCTGAGTCCGAGGCAGCCCAGCAGCACCTCTGCAGCCAGACAAGGGACAAACTGCCTCCTCAGGTGGCTCCCTGCCCTGTATAACCAAAAAAACGCCTCCTACAGGAGAGCTCAGGCTGACACCTGGTGGGTAACCTTCTGAGACAAAGCAACCAGTGGAAAGATCAGACAACAATCCTCAGTGCTCTGCAGCCTCCTGGGTGATTCCCAGGCAAACAAGTTCTGAAGTGGACCTCCAAAAGTCCTACAGCAGAGAGGCCTGACTGTTAGAAGGAAAACAAACAAATAAAAACAGAGAAGAAATAGTCTCAACATCAACAGAAACGACACCCACTCAGAGACCCCATCTGAAATCACCAACTTCAAAGGCAGATAAATCCACAAAGTTGGGAAGAAACCAGCACAAAAAAGGATGGAATCATCAAAGAACAGGACGCCTCTCCTCTTCCAAGGTATCACAACTCCTCACCAGCAAGAAAACAAAACAGGATGGAGAATGAGTTTGACAAATTGACAGAAGCAGGCTTAAGAAGGTGGGTAATAACAAACTTCTCTGAACCAAAGGAACATGTTCTAACCCAATGCAAATAATCTAAAAACCTTTAAAAATGGTTACACAAAATGCTAACTAGAATAACAAGCTTAGAGAAGAACATAAATGACTTGATGAAGCTGAAAAACACAGCATGAGAATTGCATGAAGCATACACAAGTTTCAATAGCCGAATGGATTAAGCAGAAGAAAGGATATCAGAGATTGAAGATCAACTCAATGAAATAAAATGAGGAGGCAAGATTAGAGAAAAAAGAGTGAAAAGAAATGAACAAAGCCTCCATTACATCCTGGGATTATGTGAAAAGACCTAATCTACGCTTGATTGGTGTACCTAAACATGATGAGGAGAATGAATCCAAGCTGGAAAACACTCTGCAGGATATTAACCAGGAGAACTTCCCCAACCTAACAAGGCAGACCAACATTCAAATCCAGGAAATACAGAGAGCACCATAAAGATATTCCTCAAGAAGAGCAACCCCAAGGCATATACTCTTCAGATTCACCAGGGTTGAAATGAAGGAAAAAAATCCTAAGGGCAGCTAGAGAGAAAGGACGGGTCACCCACAAAGGGAAACCCATCAGATTCACAACAGATCTCTCCACAGAAACCCTACAAGCCAGAAGAGTGTGGGGGCCAATATTCGACATCCTTAAAGAAAAGAACTTTCAACCCAGAATTTCATATCTGGCCAAACTAAGCTTCATAAGTAAAGGAGAAATAAAATCCTTTACAGACAAGCAATTGCTGAAGGATTTTGTCGCCACCAGAACTGCCTTACAAGAACTCCTGAAGGAAGCACTAAACATGTAAAGGAACGACTAGTACCAGCCACTGCAAAAACATACCAAATGGTAAAGACCAAGGACGCAATGAAGAAACTGCGTCAACTCATGGGCAAAACAACCAGCCAGTAACAAAATGGCAGGATCAAATTCACACAGAACAATATAAACGTTAAATGTTAATGGCCTAAATGCCCCAATCAAAAGACACAGATTGGCAAGCTTTTTAGTCAAGACCCATCGGTGTGCTTTATCCAAGAGACTCATCTCATATGCAAAGATATACATACACTCAAAAGAAAAGGATGGAAGAAGATTTACCAAGCAAATGGACAGCAAAAAAAAAGCAGGAGTTGCAATCCTAGTCTCTGATAAAATGGTCTTTAAACCAACAAAGATCAAAAGAGACAAAGAAGGGCATTACATAATGGTAAAAGGATCAATGCAACAAGAAGAGCTAACTAGCCTAAGTATATATGCACCCAATACAGGAGCACCCAGATACATAAAGCATGTTCTTAACAACCTACTAAGAGACTTAGACTCCCATACATTAATAGTGGGAGACTTTAACACTCCACTGTCAATATTAAACAGATCAAGGAGACAGAAAATCAACAAGGATATCCAGGATTTGAACGCAGATCAGGACCAAGCAGACCTAATAGACATCTACAGAACTCTCCACTCCATTCTTCTTAGCACCACATCGCACTTACTCTAAAATCGATCACCTAATTGGAAGTAAATCACTCCTCAGCAAATGCAAAAGAATGGAAATCATAGCAGTCTCTCAGATCACAGTGCAATCAAATTAGAAATCAGGATTAAGAAACTCACTCCAAACTGCACAACTACATGGAAACTGAACAACTGGCTCCTGAATGACAAATGGATAAACAATGAAAAGAAGACAGAAATAAAGATGTTCTTTGAAACCAATGAGAACAAAGACACAACATACCAGAATCTCTGGGACACATTTAAAGCAGAAAATTTGTAGCAATAAATGCCCACATGAGAAGTGAGAAAATATCTAAAATCAACACGTTATCATCAAAATTGAAAGAGCTAGAGGAGCAAGATCAAATAGCTCAAAAGCTAGCAGAAGACAAGAAATAACTAAGATCAGAGCAGAACTGAAGGAGATAGGGACACAAAAAAAACCCTTCAAAAAAAATCAATAAATCCAGAAGCTAGTTTTTTGAAAAGATCAATAAAATATACAGACACCTAGCCAGACTAATAAAAAAGAAAAGAGAAAAGAATCAAATAGATGCAATAAAAAACGATAAAGGGGATATCACCACCAATTCCACAGAAATACAAACTACCATCAAGAGATTACTACAAACAACTCTATGCACATAAATCAGTAAATCTGGAAGAAATGGATAAATTTCTGGACACTTGTGTCCTCCCAAGTCTAAAACAGGAAGAAGTTGAAACCCTGAATAGACCAATAACAAGGTCTGAAGTCGAGGCAGCAATTAATAGCCTACCAACCAAAAAAAGTCCAGGTCCAGTAGGGTTCCCAGCCGAATTCTACCCGACATACAAGAGGAGCTGGTACCACTCCTTCTGAAACTATTCCAAACAGTACAAAAAAAAAAGGGAGTCCTCCCTCTCATTTTATGAGACCAACATCATCCCGATACCAAAACCTGGCAGAGACACAGCTAAAAAAGAAAACTTCCAGCCAATATCCATAATGAACATTGATCCAAAAATCTTCAATAAAATACTGGCAAACTGAATGCACAGCACATCAAAAAGCTTATTCATGATGATCAAGTAGGTTTCATACTGGGGATGCAAGGCTTGTTCAACATAAGCCAATCTATAAACACAATCCATCAAATAAACGGAACCAAAGACAAAAACCACATGATTATCTCAATAGATGTAGAGAAGACCTTCGATAAAATTCAGTAATCCTTTATGCTAAAAACGTTCAACAAACTAGGTATTGATGGAATGTATCTCAAAACAGTAAAAGCTATTTACGGCAAACCCACAGCCAATATCATAATGAATGGACAAAAACTGGAAGAATTCCCCTTGAAAACTGGCAATAGACAAGGATACCCTCTCTCACCATTCCTATATAGTGTTGGAAGTTCTAGGCAGGGTAATCAGGCAAGAAAAAGAAATAAAGCGTATTCAATTAGGAAAGGAGGAAGTCAAACTGTCTCTATTTGCAGATGACATGATTGTATATTAAGAAGACCCCATTGTCTCAGCCCAAAATTTCCTAAAGCTGATAAGCAACTTCAGCAAAGTCTCAGGATACAAAATCAATGTGCAGAAATCATAAGCATTCCTATACACCAATAACAGACTTAAAGAGAGCCAAATCATGAGCGAACTCCCATTCACAATTGCTGCAAAGAAAATAAAAGCCTAGGAATACAACTAACGAAGGAGGTAAAGAACCTCTTCAAGGAGATCTACAAACCACTGCTCAAGAAAATAAGAGAAGACACAAATAAATGGAAAAACATTCCATGCTCACGGTTAGGAAGAATCAATATTGTGAAAATGGCCACACTGCCCAAAGTAATGTATAGATTCAACACTATCCTCATCAAGCTACCATTGACGTTCTTCACAGAACTGGAAAAAAAACACTTTAAACTTTATGTAGAACCAAAAGAGAGCCTGCATAGCCAAGACAATTCTAAACAAAAAGAAGAGGCATCATGCTACTTGACTTCAAACTATACTACAAGCCTACAGTAATCCAAACAGCATGGTACTGGTACCAAAACAGAGATATAGACCAATGGAACAGAACAGAGGCCTTGGAAGCAACATCACACATCTACAACCATCTGATCTTTGACAAACCTGACCAAAAAAGCAATGGGTAAAGGATTCCCTGTTTAATAAATAGTGCTAGGAAAACTGGCTAGCCATGTGCAGAAAGCTGAAACTGGACCCGTTCCTTACACCTTACACTAAGATTAACTCCAGATTGATTAAAGATTTAAACATAAGACCTAACACCATAAAAACCCTAGAAGAAAACATAGGCAATACCATTCAGTACATAGGCATAGGTAAGGACTTCATGACTAAAACACCAAAAGCAATGGCAACAAAAGCCAAAATAGACAAATGGGATCTAATTAAACTTAAAGTTTCTGCACAGCAAAAGAGTGCAATCATTAGAGTGAACTGGCAACCAACAGAATGGGAAAAACTTTTTGCAAGCTACCCATCTGACAAAGGGCTAGTATCCAGAATTTACAAAGAACTAAAACAAATTTGCAGGGAAAAACAGACAAACAAACAAACAACCACACACCCAAAAGTGGGTTAAGGATATGAACAGACACTTTTCAAAAGAAGACATTTATGAGGCTAACAAACATATGAAAAAAAAGGTCATCATCTCTGGTCATTTGAGAAAAGCAAATCAAAACTACATTGAGATACCATCTCATGCCAGTTAGAATGGTGATCATTAAAAAATCTGGAGACAACAGATGCTGGAGAGGATGTGGAGAAATAGGAACACTTTTACACTGTTGGTGAGAGTGTAAATTAGTTCAACCATTGTCAAAGACAGTGTGGCAATTCCCCAAGGATCTAGAAATAGAAATTCCATTTGACCCAGCAATCCCATTACAGGGTATATATCCAAAGTATTATAAATTGTTCTATTATAAAGACACATGCACATGTATGTTCACTGTGGCACTGTTTACAATAGCAAAGAACTGGAACCAACCCAAATGCCCATCAATGATAGACTGGACAAAGAAAATGTGGCACATATACATCATGGAATATTATGCAGCCATAAAAAACGATGAGTTCATGTCCATTGTAGGGACATGGATGAATCTGGAAACCATCATTCTCAACAAACTGACACAAGAACAGAAAACCAAATACTGCATGTTCTCACTCATAGGCAGGTGCTGAACAGTGAGAATACATGGGCACAGGGAGGGGAACATCACACATTGGGGTATGTTGGGGGGTAAGGGGTTAGGGGAGGGTCAGTGGGAGTTGGGGAGGTTGGGGAAGGATAACACTGGGAGAAATGGCTGATGTAGGAGACGGGAGGATGGAGTCAACAAATCACCATCTCATGTGTGTATCTATGCAACAGTCCTGCAAGATCTGCACATGTACCCTAGAACTTAAAGTACACTAAAAAAAAGTAATTACTAAAATAATTTAGCTGAACTACTGTGTTCCTAAACAAAGTTACCATTTGTAACAACAACAATAACAACAACAACAAAAAATTCAAAATGGCAACAGTATAAAATCATGTGCTGTAAGGAAACTTAACAAGTGAATATCTGAATTCAAATTAACAAATTGGAGAGCTTCCTTTGCATAAACCTTTGCCTGTGAAACATAATTTTGATCATTGCAAATAATTTTAATTTTCAAGCTAGGAAATTTTATGGATCCCTAAATATATGTGTATTTTAATGTTACAAACTACATAGTGTCATACACACACACAACATTGTCTAGTCCACAAATGGATAACATGTAATTTTTAATGCCAACCCTACAATCACATAAAAGTTTATGTAAAATTCAGAGTTTAATTTTTTTCAATTAAGGTCAGCTTTTCTTTCTTTTAAATTTAAATTGTATCCTTCCTATCATATCATCCCATCCAAATAAATAAATGAATAAAATATGAGTACAATGATAGCATCTGTTTTCTCATGCCTTCTGCTGGACTTTGTAAAAAAAATAAACACCCACAAATCTGTTTTTTCCAAAACTTAAAGCAAATCATTTCCACTTTGGAAAACTAATATTTACCTATTTAATTCTCACCTCAATAAAACTGTGCGTTTCTGAAATCAGTTTTGACATCTGGTTCTTTTTTCTAAGTCGGAAGCAGAAAAGATGGAGCTTATCTCCATCTTCACAGGGGATATCGTGACATTGTCCTGTCCCCACTACATCCATTTTTCCTCTGTCATCCTCAATTGCATAGGTTGTACTCTTCTGTTTTTCATTTACTTCTTTCTGTAACAGAAAATCAATATTCTGCTCCTGAGAATGCAATTAATAACAACCACATATTGGGAGGCTGAGGCGGGTGGATCACGAGGTCAGGAGATCGAGACCATCCTGGTCAACACGGTGAAACCCTGTCTCTACTAAAAATACAAAAAATTAGCTGGGCATGGTGACGTGTGCCTGTAATCCCAGCTACTCAGGAGGCTGAGGCAGGAGAATTGCCTGAACCCAGGAGGCGGAGGTTGCGGTGAGCCAAGATCGCGCCATTGCACTCCAGCCTGGATAGCAAGAGCGAAACTCCGTCTCAAAAAAACAAAAAAACACATAGAATAAACTCCCTTGTAAAAGAGTTAAGCAAGATACAGGACAGCAACTCCTAGTACAGATATGTATAAACCTTAGGCCAGATCTTTGCAGAGAGCCCTCCCTCAATATCCTTTTTGTTTAAGTCTTTCATGTTTGAATATTTCTAAAACAGTTCTAAAACACTGAGCTTTCTTCCTAGTTTCTATTGTTTTCACCTCCAGGGCAGCTATACTTCCCAATGTGCCTTGATACAGAAGAATCTGAAACCCCCGATAGACTTTTGGGGTGTCTGGTCTTGCTACAACTGCTTATTCAATGAATTATGAGGTATCTGTAAGAAAAAGCAAGCTTCTAGAAACTCTCTAATTACTTTTTCTACCATCTGTATTTTCTGAGTCTCTTCCAATATTTGTACCCCCACTCCCAAACCCAAGTACTTGAGCTCAACCATTCCAGCTTTTTACTCGTTACTCATCATTCTAGAAGTGGTTATATAAGAATCATCTCGGCCGGGCGCGGTGGCTGAAGCCTGTAATCCCAGCACTTTGGGAGGCAGAGGCAGGTGGATCATGAGGTCAAGAGATCGAGACCATCCTGGTCAACACGGTGAAACCCCGTCTCTACTAAAAATACAAAAAATTAGCTGGACATGGTGGCACGTGCCTGTAGTCCCAGCTGCTTGGGAGGCTGAGGCAGGAGAATTGCCTGAACTCGGGTGGCGAAGGTTGTGGTGAGCCGAGATCACACCATTGTACTCCAGCCTGGGTAACAAAAGCCAAACTCCAACTCAAAAAAAAAAAAAAAAAAAGAATCATCTCGCCGGGCATGGTGGCTCACGCCTGTAATCCAAGCACTTTGGAGGCCAATGTGGGTGGATCACCTGAGGTCGGGAGTTCAAGATCAGCCTGACCAACATGGTGAAACCCCATCTTTATTTAAAAATATATACATGAGGCCGGGCGCGGTGGCTCATGCCTGTAATCCCAGCACTTTGGGAGGCCGAGGCGGGTGGATCACGAGGTCAAGAGATCGAGACCATCCTGGTCAACATGGTGAAACCCCGTCTCTACTAAGAATACAAAAATTAGCTGGGCATGGTGGCGCACGCCTGTAGTCCCAGCTACTAGGGAGGCTGAGGCAGGAGAATTGCTTGAACCCAGGAGGCAGAGGTTGTGGTAAGCCGAGATTACGCCATTGCACTCCAGCCTGGGTAACAAGAGCGAAACTCCGTCTCAAAAAAAAAAAAAAAAAAAAAAATATATATATATATATATATATATATATATATATATATATAAATGAAAAGAAAATCATCTCTTTTAGAGTATGTACAGAAAGTAATTCAGGTTAAATAAGGAGTTGTTCTAGGAAACAAATATAATGAGTAGTGAACTATCGATCAGATAAGAAATTGCTTGAATCACCTGAGGTTGGGATTTCAAGACCAGCCTGACCAACATGGTGAAACCCTGTCTTTAAAAAAAAAAAGAAAGAAAGAAAGAAAGAAAGAACTTGCTTGAATCAACAGCAGAGGATGGATTTTTTCTGGAGCTGGGGGTTGAAAGTCTCATGCTAACTAGTTTCATGAATTTAAACAGAACATATCAGGAAAAGCACTCTGTGCTCTATTTTTTTGGTTACTTATATGTAAATGACAAATTTAGATTATCCGATTTTCCAAGTATCATCAAAATTCATATTTCTCAATTGTTCAACCTATTTTTGATGAATTAGTTTTACTTGGTCAGAACATTGTCTTACTTTCTGCATTTGTTTTTCAGACATGAATAGTCAATTCATTTCTTGCTCTATCATAACCAGAACTCAAGCCTCGGAGGACAATACTTCAATCAAAATGAAAATAATGTGATTTTTACTACAGTAACGATAATAGTCAAAGGGATAAACTTAGTATTAAGTGTGTATGGATCTAGACCTCACACTGTCCTTGGTCATTGTGACTTAGCATAGATAATAACAAGTGATAAAATCTTAAGTTAAGATTTCTCAATCATTGTAAAGACTAAAGTTTAATGCCCTGGGAAGGAGAACATGGGAAAGAAACATTAACAGGTCCCCCAATCCCAGTCTTAACTTCAGAGAAGGCTTTATCCACCTGTCATTAGTCTTGAGAGTCCTGGATTCTAACATCCAGTTTATAAGCAAAGCTTCATCTCACACATCAAGGCTTTTAATGTCAGGTGTTGGTGGAAAAATGAAATAAAACAATTAAGAGGACTTACCTTACATAGCGTAAATATCCCATATACAGTATTTCCTGAAGCTTGTTTGTGAAGAATATCAATCTTCAGAGTTTCCTTTGCTCTGCTGATGATTTTATTTGGAATCTCAAGCTGTTGGTCAGGACCAGCTTCATATACAGAAGATCCTTCATTGACCTCTAGGAGATTATCATCTTCCAAATAATCTGATATGGCGATGATTTTCTTTCCACTGAATTTCTCTTTCAAGCTGATGTTTAAAACCTTCACATGGAAGAACTGTGTTGATGTAGCCACTGTAGCATGAAACATCATTTTTTTCTCCTTTTCTGGGGTCTCATATACAAATGGCTTTGTTGCACTCAGTACCTTCACTATCACTGGGCCCTTTTGGGGAATACTTCTTCTGGCAGTTGCCTGACGTCTGGCCACTGGTTTGGGGCTCTGTGTGTGACAGCACAGGAGAACAAAGAAAAATGTCTAACTGAGAAATACAGAACTGCTATTCAGTGACCTCAGTGATAATACAGGGCCCCAAAACTTGCACAGATGTTTAGAGCTGGAGTCAGGGTAGAGAGGGATGGCTAGCTAAGGCAGAAGATATCTTTTTTTTTTTCTTTCTTTTCTTTTTAAAGATGGGGTTTCACCATGATCGCCAGGCTGGTTTTGAACTCCTGACCTCAGGTGATCCACCCACCTCAGCCTCCCAAAGTGCTAGGATTACAGGCGTGAGCACGCCCGGCCGCAGAAGATATCTTAAACTGGTATAATAGCAAGAGGAAGTTATAGAGGAGACCATATGGTGAAAACACGACCTTTCTCTAAACAAAATCATCTTTAAGAAGTAAAGCGTAAGAGCAACACAAGACCAGTGGATACTAAAAACAGTGTCATGAAGTACCTTAAAATAACTTTTAGGGCCAGGCGCAGTGGCTCACACCTGTAATTCCAGTACTTTGGGAGGGTGAGGCAGGTGGATCACCTGAGGTCAGGAGTTTGAGACCAGCCTGGCCAATATGGTGAAACCCTGGCTCTACTAATAACACAAAAATCAGCTGGGTATGGTGGCGGGTGCCTGTATCCCAGCTACTTGGCAGGCTGAGGCAAGAGAATCGCTTGAACCAGGAGGTGGAGGTTGCAGTGAGCCGAGATCACACCACTGCGCTTCAGCCTGGGTGACAGAGCAAGACTCCGTCTCAAAAACAACAAAATAAATAAATAAATAAATAATTTTAGAATGAAATAATGAATTATACTATTTCTCTTGCCAGCTTAAAGTGCTAAAGCCTAAAAATAGACAAAGTTAAATGACACTTAAAATGAAAAGTGACGCCCACCACAAACTATAGACTTTAAGAGTGTTCAGTTATCACCAGTGTAGACAAGGCAATTTTGAGAGCACACCTCATAGTGTCCCTGCCCAAGATTCATTAACTTAACAGCAGGTGAGAACACACGTTAAACCCCTCAGAATGCCATCATCCCAGTAGGCTCAGGCTGGAGACACTACAGAGTGTCATTCTACCACCATAGCCTGTCTCAGCGTCAGGGCTCTTGCAGCTAGCATACTAACAGAAACCTGGGGCTCACAGTGGCTTTCCTTCAATATCTTTTCTCTTGAACATATTGGTCTCCTTAAATTGCAATAGAAGGGGAGGTTGTTTAATCTATTAAAAAGAAGTGCTGGGCCGGTCGCAGTGGCTCACGCCTATAATCCCAGCACTTTGGGAGGCCGAGGCGGGTGGATCACGAGGTCAAGAGATCAAGACCATCCTGGTCAACAAGGTGAAACCCCGTCTCTACTAAAAATACAAAAATTAGCTGGGCATGGTGGTGCAGCCTGTAGTCCCAGCTACTCGGGAGGCTGAGGCAGGAGAATTGCTTGAACCCAGGAGGTAGAGGTTGCGATGAGCCAAGATCGCGCCATTGCACTCCAGCCTGGGTAGCAAGAGCAAAACTCCGTCTCAAAAAAGAAAAAAAAAAAAGTGCTGAAGGCATGGATGACCTCATTCACAAACTAGCAGGTGCTGGAGAGATCTGACATGGGATACTATAGTGAGGTATGAAGGAGATAAGAGCAGTAGACAGTGAGCCCACAGCTGACAGTTGTGTACTCCACACCTCTCTCTCCCTTCCCCAAACAATACAGGACAGAAAACTTCCTGAAGTCAGAGATAATGTCAAGTTCATCGAGTATCCCTGTGGAAGCAATAGATGAAAATTTCTCAATATGTCCATTCGATTAACTCGTAAATTATTGATGCAATTTAGTAACAGATGAAATCATTCCTGTACCTCGGGTTGAAGAGAAGAAAGCAAAAGGGGACCAGGAAGAGCATACCTCAATGGAGAAAGCATTGGGTGGAGCTGATGATGAGGGCTGGGGAGGTGGGGAACGGCCCACAGCTGTGAGCATGCTGGCTTCTGCCGGACACGGAGGCTGAATCTGCTCCTCTGACATCTTACTCTTTTTGGTTCCAGACTTTTTTTTGGTTGAGATTTTTCTTTTCTGCAAGTAGTTTGATTTTTCTGTTATTCATTTTCAGTGCCAATGGAAGTAGAGCACATTTTCATTATTGGGTAGTAGTTTTATGATACCTAACAAGATGCTTCTTGGAAACTTGAGAGGGTGCTGCCCATCTCTCTGGCCAGTTGTAAGATGTGGGCATAGGTAGCTTCATTAAACAAAGAAAGAGGAGAATGTTATGCACATCATTTCTCAAATTATTTCTGTTATGGGATGTGCTGACTTGGGTTTAGAAAAACTAGGTTTTTATAAACTAGGACAAAGTATTTACTTATTCTCATGTTTACAATCCTACTAGAACAAAGATATCACATTTATGTTATATATATTGGCATTATGCTTATGTGTCTGGTTCACTGCTTTGATCATCAATAAGATGATCAATTATCATACAATTTGGTAAATCTGAGGCTTGATGGGAAACAGGAAGAAATAACTGTCTGCTCAAGAGGTTGAGTGGAAGAGCCATGCAGAACTTCCTCTGTGGGCCTTGAAGCTTGCTCCTCTTCCTGAAGCTTACCTTATCTCCCGGAGTTGCCTCTGCTCCTTCAGCTTTGACGGTGCTGATTGCAGAGGGTGCAGGTACAGCAGGATCCATTTTCTGCTTCTTCTTTTTTGATGGGGTTTGTTCTTGTGCTGGAATACGTTCAATTTTATTCACCACCAATTCGGTAAAAAGGAAGATACATAAACGATCTCGACAGCTGAAGCAGTTTCAATACAATTTGCTCTCACTTCCTGCTTGCGAGTTTAGCTGTGCTTTAGCCTACGTCTACTGCATTAGCCCAGCCTGGCCTCAAGGAGACCAGCAGTCACAGACAGGCACAGGCACTGATCATGCTCCTCCTCACTTTCCTCCCTCCTCCCCTGCGCACTGAGCACATGCTTCCTGTCCTCTGAACTCCATGTGCCTCGGCCAACCCTTTCCCAAGTTAAAATTTAAAAATTTTTAAAGTTTTAACAACTGCTTCCAGGACGCGGACTGCTTGGTCACGTTCCCCAGGTAAGCTATTCCAATTATAGAAACCAGTGAAAGGGTTCCATGAGGCGGGATATACTTATTTTGGACTTAGAGTTTCTAAAACCCTTTTTTTAACTTAATGCAAGCAGAGGAGAGATCATATTTCTGAAAGGCAGTCTCACATTTAAGTACTGCATTTTAAAAAATTATACAGGGTATTGCTGGATTAAATAGTCTCAATAGAACAGACACATTAATTGGTTAAATGTACGTATCTTGAATTTAAACATTTTTTATGATTTATCATCATATAATCTTTCTAATGTACTGGAAGTCTCAGTCCCCCTTCAACTCCCTCTCACTTTCGTTCTTTCACTAATCCCAAACACAAACTCTGAAATAAATCAATCCACACTACTAATGGAACGCACTAAATTGTCAACTCTTGGCACCTGACGTACCAGCATTGCCTCAGCTGTTCACTCACAAACTGGAGAAAACACATATCAACTGTGAAGGGGTGGGGCTCTAATCAAGGTTGGGAAGGATTTGGGGATGGCTGCAGGGCGTAGGTGTTCCCTCTTCCCAATTACCTTTTAACTTTTCTTTTTTAAGAGTTTCAGCAAAGTCTCCAAGTGTTGGTATGTCTTTGATAATTTGTATTAGTTTGCCCAAACCAGCATCATCTGGGAACTTTTCTTCCAGCAAGTCAGCAATCTGAATTTTGTCATACTCGTCTCTCATTTTCGGATTAAGTTTCAAATCGCTGCTCAGTAAGGACTTAACCATTCTAAAATGATAATCATTGATGCCCTCTAATCCTTTTAGCAGAACAATGTTCTTGTATTTTTTTCCCATCTTTGCAGATATAAGTGAGCCTACAAGAGAAAAATGGCATACAGTGTTACACATGTATACAGACAATTTAAAAGAACATGAATGCCTATGTGAGTGCGTGGCCCATGTGAAAGAGTTGTTCATGAATATATGTAATAAAGAAGGACTTGATGACTGAATGTGCTACTGGAGATATTGAGTGAAGAACTGCCGTGTTAGGAATGTCTAAGAAATTCTTCCCATTGAGTGAGGATAGTGGAGTTGGGTCCATGTGTTAGAGGGACGTCTGAGAACAAGCAATTGTCTCAGTGTTTAGAGTATGGGCTATGCAGTGTCAAAGCGCTTGGTTCCTCTTTCTATCCCTTACTGGGGCTGAAGCCCATCCCCCAAAGCCTGCCTGTTGTTTCTTAAATCATCCCACTATGACTGAAGCGGCCTATATGTAAAGGGGCTGCAGACTCCCACCTTATATGAATAACCTTCTGCTACAGCACTACAGTTTCACGCTGGGGCGCCAACCCTATTCTCCTTGAATCTTCCCTAGTTGGCTCTCATTAGCGTCCTCTCTTGTTTGGTGCTAGACCATGGCTTCTGTTCTCGGTATCCATAAAACCAACGCTTTGCTGAAAATCCACATGCTCTCCAGTGCACCATCACAGCATGTATCCACTGGAATTATTTCACTAGTTGTTTTATTTTTCTTCTTTCAGACTTATCTATTTCTTTCAACACAGCCAGTTTTCTCTCTATAAGCCACATTTCTATTCCACTGAAATCCTTCATTTATCTCTCCTTTCTCTTTCCAAAAATTCCTTGCTTCCTGTACTGTCTCAGAAAGTGTTGAGTAAGCTACATCTTTTTCACTTCTGGTACTTTTGTATTCCTCGTATCTATGCTCCACAAAGATACAACACACCTTACATCTTAGTGCCTCATGGCTTTGTTTGTTCCTTCTTACTGCCTGGAAAGCCATTCCCACATCTCTTTCTTTGAGTACTTCCCATACAAACTTAAGACTGAACTGTGGCAAACTCTTGGTAGATTTTAGAATCCTCTTATGGACAGAGTGTCACTCCTCTTGGCTTTTTAACATCTGTGCACTTCCATGACGACACTCAGTGCATGGTATGGATTCCAGCTTCTTTTTAAGTGAATGAATGTTTTAATTTTAGGAATGATGTCTTTGTGTACCTTTTGTATAACCAAGATATTTAAATTTCTGGGGCTATTAATTGGGCCAGGCGTGGTAGCTCACACCTGTAATCCCAGCACTTTGGGAGGCTGAGGTGGGCGGATCACGAGGTCCGGAGATCAAGACCATCTGGCTGAACAGTGAAACCCCATCTCTACTAAAAATACAAAAAATTAGCCGGGCGTGGTGGCACGTGCCTGCAGTCCCAGCTACTCAGGAGGCTGAGTAGAAGAATGGTTTGAACCTGGGAGGTGGAGGTTGCAGTGAGATTGCACCACAGAGCGAGACTGTCTCAGGAAAAAAAAAAAAAATTGCTTCCTTTGCTTCCTTCTTATGAGAACATGAGTGTCCTTGGATTGAAAAGTTCCAAAGAAGGAGGGAAAAATATACACAAAAACACATTATCGTGACACTGAAGGATATAATAAACAAAAATACTCTGTAAGCCTTCAGAAAAGAGAAACAGATCAGCTACAAAGATTCAAGAATCAGACTGAGAGTGATTCTCAATAGCAGAACTGTCCGAAGCAGGACAAGGGAGTCATTTTCATGTAATGCTGGCCTGAAGTTCCACATCAATTATGAAACAAAAAAAAATCTTAATGGAAAGTTTTGACTTATTTTGTGAGTGTGACAGTACAATTTATTTGCAAAATGAAAAGAGATTGAAGGTGACAGTAGGCTATGTGTAATCTTTATTTATTTCACTTAAATGTGACCCTTCACATGTTTCGTTGGGCAATATTAGTGCTTTTGATTTTGGAGTATTTATACGCCACTGGAGTTTCTAGTAAGACAATATTTAGAATATATATACTAAACAGCTTTGCTGAAGCCTCCAGATTCTTTATTTCAAAATATGTCTAGCTCCACAGTTACAGGAGAGGGGCTTTCATCTTGTCTTGAGGGAAAATATAATTTTAAATTTAGAATTTTAATTTAGGCAAAATGATATTTAAACAGAAGAGTCTCAAAAACTGTTATCTGATACTCAGGGCCTCAGTCTTTTTGTAAGACAAAGACTCATACCACACAAAAAAAATCTACTGAAAATAATATTTAATAAGAAAACAATAAATAAAATTTAAGATGTTGTCAGCCAAAAGATAGGAAAAGTGAAAAATAAAGCTTAGGTGTTCCTAATGTCTTAAAAAGAAAGCCCTGATCAAAGAGAAGAGAAACAGAAATTCTAACAGCATGGTAAAGGGAGGGAAGAAAAAGAACAGGACAATTCACTAAAGTAATTGTCTTAGATAGTGAGATAATATAGAAATGTCATAAATTGCAGATAGCAGATTGTTAATTACCACCATACACCTAAAAGGTCTGATCTGTTAAGTGACAACTTTCATCAAATTTGATTTAAGAAATATAAATACATGTTAACAAAAGGTGAAAAAAATTGCTAAAAATTATCTTGCAAAGAATCACTAAAGAAAGCAAGTTTATCTGTTTGTGTAAATTTAAATATACCCTAAGCCCAAAAGTAACTTCAGATACCTTATAATGATAAAAGGTTCAACTAGGAAATTATAACAGTTTTAGTTATAAATTTATCTAATTTTGCTACAAAGCATTATTGTGAGAAAAAAAGAAAAAAATGATAAAATAAATGTATCTAGTTTATCTAATGATATTATTTATTATTATTTTATAGTGCTTTGTGGTCCTATAATTATTAGTATATATTTCTCTTTGTATACACACACATGCACAGACATAACTACACACACATATATATATGAAATCTGTAATGATATGTTTGAACATAATAAACTTAACATTTATCTAATACATACATAAAATTCTGAAATCAACATTTTAAAATCTCACATTCCACTATACACACGTATATTTCTATGTGTGTACATGTTTGTATAAATGATTATATATACATATAATATATGTGTGTGAATATATATTATACATACACCTAATATATATGATTGTGAGAGAACTACAAGGAAAAAACATAAAAGATCAACATACTTATGAGAATATTAAGACACCACGTACTTGAACAACTGTGAAACTGAAAAAAGTTTTCCACTGTATGTGTACATTTGTTCTCATGTTTTTTTAAATTGGGATGATATCACATAATACAGCTCTATGTTCAGATGTGTTTTTTACTGAATATTCTTTCATGATACTTTTTTCATGTCACTATCTTGAGAACCCACCACAGCTACCGAGTTTCCAACACTTCTTCTGGTCAAAAATAACCAAAGCTGTCTTCTTTTTTGTTTGTTTGTTTGTTTCCCTGAGACGGAGTTTCACTTTTGTTACCCAGGATGGAGTGCAATGGCGCGATCTCGGCTCACCACAACCTCCGCCTGCCTCAGCCTCCTGAGTAGCTGGGATTACAGGCACGTGCCACCATGCCCAGCTAATTTTTTGTATTTTTAGTAGAGACGGGGTTTCACCATGTTGACCAGGATGGTCTCCATCTCTTGACCTCGTGATCCACTCACCTCGGCCTCCCAAAGTGCTGGGATTACAGGCTTGAGCCACCGCGCCCGGCCTCCAAAGCCGTCTTCTAAATATCAAGGAATGCCAACACATACTCAGAAAATTAGTTTTCAAATCTGCAATGGTTGGCCGGGCGTGGTGGCTCACGCCTGTAATCCTAGCATTTTGGGAGGCCAAGGTGGGTGGATCACCTGAGGTCAGGAGTTCAAGACCAGCCTGGCCATCATGGTGAAACACCATCTTTAAAAAAAAAAAAAAAAATCTACAATGGTCAAAATGCATTTTCTCTTGTTCAGTCCTCAGTTGTGGTGACATAAAAGACGCCTATTATCTTCCTAAGTAAGTGCAGGATTTATATCCAGCAACTCAGTTTTCACTTTTCTGAAAACCCAGCCCTATTCCCATCCTCCTATGACCCTGAATAGCCAATACTGATTGTCCCCTTGTGACTCTGGGGACTTCAAAGAAGTAACAAGACCTTATTTACAAAACTAGCAACAGTACTCACCTCACTGGAAATTTTTTCAACAGTGGTCCAGATCTTGAGATTTTCAGAAATGCAGGAATCAATGCTTATTTTCTTCAAGTGAGGAGATAAATCAGTAAAATTCCCAGAAACAGAACTGCAGGATGTTGTAATTTCCTGCAATGCTAAGAAAATGAAGTATTTGCAAAGATAACAAGAAAAAAAGGCCTAGGTTGAGTCACCGAGTAATCTGACTAGTGCTGGCTCTCTGCTGCTCTGCTATTGCCCCGGGGAGACTGGAGTTAGGAAACCACAGGGAAACTCCTCCCACCACTGTTTTTAGGTTTCGTTTCTGTTAGAGAAAAGGGCAGTTTCCTTCTGAAGAGGGCTGAAGTGTGTGGTGAAAGGAAATGGGGGATGAGAAATTACTTTCGTGGGTACAATGAACATTTTTTCCGAGATGTGTACGCTAAAAGCTCTGACAGAATTATGTTTGTATCTCATAAATGTATATAAATACAAATAAATCAGTATATATATGTGTATATATATATATATATATATATATATATATCTTTTTTTTTTTTTTTAAGAAAATTTAACAGCTGAAAAGAGTTCCAACATTAGAACTTTCTTACCCAGCAGACTTACATGTGGGACCTCAGAAACCTATATTCCCTTAAATGATGCTCAAATATAAGAGAAGCAAGGTGGCTTCTCCCTCCTTTCCTGTGCACAGAGTGGCGGTGGTAGTAGGAGATCTTGGTAGAAGTGTCTTTTACTACCAGTACTTCACTGCGTCTCTTGGATGGGGAAATGCCCGGTATAAAATTGCTATTTGTTTAAATATTACCTGAAGTATTCGTCCAATTGTTCATAGTTGACACACCTGGGGCTTTCCAGATCAGAAAGTCGTTATGAATACGTAAATTGTTCTTCAAATTTATATAAAGGAGTTTAACACTAGCTGTCCTTTTGCCTATGACTAGGTTACTTTACCTCAATGATTAGATTTATGACTACTCATGTTTTCTGCATTAGTCACGGGTAAACACAAGTGGATAGTAGGGCTCAGAACCTGACAGCAATGAAGCCTTGAAAATCCTGGAAAATGCACTGAGCCTGTTTAATCCTTTGCTCAGCAATGTATTTCTCTCTGTAAAGGGCAGTGGGTACCATTTAAAGTGCTGTAACCCCAGGATGTCAAATAAATGGCATCATCCAGCAGATGATGTTGTGTTACCCCAGCAGCAGATCTGCAAGCAGGTTGTGGCCGTGATGGAAAGGAGACCCCGTAGACAGTGAGCGTGTACTATCCAATGCCATCTGCAGATCCAAAGAAAGCTGATTGTTTTCATCCAAACGAGGGCCATGGAGAGAATAGCTGAATTCTGGATTTGAAACTAGATGAATAACTATCAAAGCGGAGTAAGTCAAAAAAAAAAAAAAAACAAATAGGATCTGGAATGCTGGCAATAAACACTTCTGGTGTTCATGATGATCTTTTACTGGCTTTGGGTTGCTGTTTATGTGGATACATTGAGTCGGCCTTAAGGCAGTAGGTAGAGCGGGATATTAGGGAGGTCATGGAGATCCCCAATCCAGGGGTCAAAGGGTAGAGGACCCTTGGAAGTTATGACCATATTTCAAAACATGTTCTGTCTTTTTACTTAAAATCATTTTATATTCAGTAATGTCCTCAATTGGGACTCCAGAGTACAACACAAAAATTACTGTCACCAATAAAAAATTTAGGACAATGCTCCATAATTCATACTGTGAAGGTGAAATTTTCATAGATGAAGCAAAAAAATGCTTAAAAATGTGCATTTCCCCCCACTCTGTGGCAGTGGCCAACAATTGGGAATTTATGCTATCACACAGAAAGGTCGTTAGTATAATATACAAAAATTCCTGATAAAGTGAAAAATGTGTGAATGAATCTGTCTTCCTTTTTGTAATCTGATACTAATCCTCATGATCATTCAAAATCCTCAGGAAAAGTTCCCATCGATTTGATATTCTAAGCAAAATGTTGCCAAATTCCTGCTAATGGGCCAATCCTAACACATCATTTGCTTTTATAAAGTTTTATTGAAGCACTCCTATGCTTATTTATTTTTGCATTGTCAGTATCTGCTTCATGGTGCAATGCCAAGTTAAATAGCTGCAGGAGAGTCCATCTGGCTGCAGAGCCTAAAGATGTTTAACAAATAGTTCTTTACAAAAAAAAAATTAACTTGTATACAGCCATCTGTGTACAGATGTGTTAAACTTTTCTCCTCAAGTAAGCAGAAGAGAAACCACACCAAGAAATCAGTCAGAGCTTTTTAAGACCATTGTAGACTAATGACTAAAGACTTATGATAAGGTTAGCAATCTCAGAGAAGTGGAAATGGGGAGTGTTAAAGCCTTGTCTAACTGATTATCCCTAAGGGCCAGAACAAAATCCATTTGCATGGGAGCCTCAGTTACAAGTCTGATTTTATGCATTTGTGGGCATCAGCCACCTGAACAAGATGCCTTCTCCTTTTGCCTCTCAAGAAAATAGATTTTTTCTCAAGGAAGAAGAAGGTGATTGAGTTTTAAATGTTGAACCAATGTTACATCCCTGAAATAAAATACACTTTTTTTTTATGATGCATTATAATTTATTATATATTGATAGGTTTAATTTTTGAAACTTTAATAGCTTATTTTGCATTTATTTTCATGAAGGAATTGACTTTTGTTTTTCTCTTTGTGTGATATCTTTATTTAATTTTGGTATGACAGTAAACTGGCATTTCTAAAACTGTGTACATATGTGTTAAACTTTTCTCCTCAAATATTTGATAAAATTCATAAAGTGTCTATCCCAAAACTTTCACTATAGAAAGAGTTTTTGTTATAACTGCCTTTTCTTTCATAGATATAGGGATATTTAGTTGTTTTATTTCCTTATGAGACAGTTAAATTGTGTTTTACAGGAATTTTGTCCACTGGATCTAAGTAACTAAACTTACTGGCATAAAATTATTTCTGATATTGTTTTATTACCCTTTAAATACATGCCTTATCTGTAGTATCATCCCTTTACATTCCTGATATTGATCATTTATATCATCCCTCCTTGTTTTTCTTGATTATTCTTGGTAAATAGACTCTCTCTGAGGAGGGTGTGCAGGGAAGTTCAAAGTCAAGAAGAGGGACACAAAAGGAATAGTAAAGGAATCTGCAGCCTTTGGCACCTACATCTAGAGCAAGCAGTAAACAATGTTTTAACAGCCAGCCAGAATAACACAAAAATCTCGTATAAAGGTCTATTTATTTCAGTTCCTATTGTCTAATAGTCATCCTTTTAACAACAACAACAACAACAACAACAACAAAAATTGCAAAGTATACCAGAGACAAGGAAAAGCAGAGTGTAAAGTGGGAAAAGCAGAGTGTAAAGTGTCAAAAGCAGCATTGTAAGCAGACTCAGCTATGACCCTGATGTGGAAATTATCAGACAGAAAATATAAAATTAGTACAATTATTGTGTTAAAAGGTCTAGTGGAGGCCGGGCGCGGTGGCTCAAGCCTGTAATCCCAGCACTTTGGGAGGCTGAGACGGGTGGATCACGAGGTCAAGAGATCGAGACCATCCTGGTCAACATGGTGAAACCCTGTCTCTACTAAAAATACAAAAAAATTAGCTGGGCATGGTGGTACGTGCCTGTAATCCCAGCTACTCAGGAGGCTGAGGCAGGAGAATTGCCTGAACCCAGGAGGCAGAGGTTGCGGTGAGCCGAGATCGCATCATTGCACTCCAGCCTGGGTAACAAGAGCGAAACTCCGTCTCAAAAAAAAAAAAAAAAAAAAAGCTCTAGTGGAAAAAGTAGACAATGTGCTGTGCAAGAACAGGTGGATGTCAGCAGAGAGAAGGAAACACCAGAGAGAATCAAATGGAAATGCAGGAAATCTGAACCACTGCAATAAAAATGGAGAAAACTCAGTAGAGCTGACACAACCTAGGAAAGATTCGGTTACCTTGAAGATGGTCTAACAGGTATTTCCCAAAATAAGTGCAAAGGGGAAACATAAACCAGAATATCCAATAACTGTGGCATAATATCATAAGATGTAGCACATGTATAATGGAAACACCAGAAGGTAAAGAAAGAGATAATGATGCAAAAGGAATATCTGAAGCAAAAATTGCCAATAAATTTTTAAAATTAATCAGAGACTAAAAACTTCTGATCCTGGAAGCTCAGGTAAACAAAGGGAAAGTAAAAAACTATTATAGAGAAACAATTTTAAGAATTACCATGAACTTATTGTCAGAAACATTGCAAGCAAGAAGAATAAGAAGAGGGTGGAGTGAAATATTTGACGTGTTGAAAGACAAAACCCACAAACCCAAAATTCTGTATCCAGCAAAATTATCCTTCAATAGTAAAGGAGAGATAAAGACTTTCTCAGACAAAACTGTGGGAATTTGTTGTCAGTACACTGGCGCTGCAAGATGTGTTGAAGGATCTTCAAGGAGAAGAAAAACTATATAGGTCAGAGTTTCAGACCTATGTGAAGAAGAGTGTCAGAGAAGACATAATTGAAGATCAAATAAATTTTGAAAATTTTTCTTATTCTTAATTGATTTAAAAGATTACTGTTTCTGCCGGGCGCGGTGGTTCAAGCCTGTAATCCCAGCACTTCGGGAGGCCGAGGCGGGTGGATCACGAGGTCGAGAGATCGAGACCATCCTGGTCAACATGGTGAAACCCCGTCTCTACTAAAGATACAAAAAATTAGCTGGGCATGGTGGCACGTGCCTGTAATCCCAGCTACTCAGGAGGCTGATTTCTTTTTTTTTTTTTCTTTTTTTTTTTTGAGACGGAGTTTTGCTCTCGTTACCCAGGCTGGAGTGCAATGGCGCCATCTTGGCTCACCGCAACCTCCGTCTCCTGGGTTCAGGCAATTCTCCTGCCTCAGCCTCCTGAGTAGCTGGGATTACAGGCACGCGCCACCATGCCCAGCTAATTTTTTGTATTTTTAGTAGAGACAGGGTTTCACCATGTTGACCAGGATGGTCTCGATCTCTTGACCTCATGATCCACCCGTCTCGGCCTCCCAAAGTGCTGGGATTACAGGCTTGAGCCACCGCGCCCGGCCTACTGTTTCTTTAAGGTAATAATAGTAACAACGTATTCAGTGATTATAGAAAAGGGATAAATGAAGTGAATGACACAAATGCTCCAGGGGAAAAGGTGGAAGTATTGGAAATCCTTTGTTAAAAGGTACATTTATTATAGGTGAAGCAATATGGTGTTATATAAAGGTAGATTAAATTGCTTAAAACTGTGTCTTGGAAACTCTCAGGCAACTACTAAAAATTTAGAAAGAGTTATAGTTCACATGCTAAAAGAAGAAAGAGAAAGGAATGGTAAAATGCTCAGTAAATTCACAGAAGACAGAAAAAGAAGAGGCCAAGAGAACAAATGCAACAAATAGAAAACAGTTATGAAATGGTAGATATTAATTTAACTATAACAATAACTAAGGGCCCTAATTTGTAGCATTGCCAAATTCAATGATGTAACTATTACTACCTCTGCTGGCTTTATGATTTCAAATGTTTGACAACCAGAAGAAAAATTCCTGGGTATTTAATAACCACTTCTTCCTAATTTTTAGATGCAACCATACCATTTCATCTCCCTACCTCCACCCCTTCAAATATGTTCTCTCTGATGCCTTCCTCAGGATAATTGATCATATATATACGTAGTGTTAAGAGCTCTAGTGGAAAAAGCTGTGTGTGTGTGTGTGTGTGTGTGTGTGTGTATAAATTTAATCACTTTAATAACATAGCAATGTAGCTATGTAACATTATATATATAATGTAGCTATGCTATTAAAGTGATTAAATTTATATTAATCAGGCATTATTCTGAATAAAATCTCTATTGCGTACATATATATATATTACAATGAGGCTTCAATTTCTCTCTTTATGATAAAAAGCAGTGTTCTGTTTTAATTTTCTGGCGTCATTTTCCATACTGTTCCACATATACCAAAGTTAAAGTTGTACAGGAACATTTATATCATCTCACATTAATTGTTAGTGACATTTCTCCTGTCAGTATTACAAATGTCTTTACCTTGCTAAGAACAGTAAGACCTATTGCGTATTGGTTTTTCATGATGCAATAGACTGTGGTATATGCATTGTTCACTTGTTTTTCAAATCAACCCTATGCAGCAGAGTTTTCCCTTTTTAGAAAAGACTGCTATCTTGGTTGTCTCGAGTATTCTAGATGCTGAGGGTTCCA